GCTGACAAGAATGCTGCAAAGCAAAACGGGGCAACCGCCTTGATGATGGCAGCTCAGAAAAACCACTTGGATGTGGTGCGATTGCTCCGCTGAGAGAGTGCTGGTGTGGAATTGCAGCTGCTCAGCCACCAAGTCGCAAGACTTTGCATGTTCACGTGACACGAATAAGACACCACCTCGGAAAAAAAAAAGGAGGGACGCCGTGTTACGTTTTTGATGCTAGCCTGCGCTTATAAATCGTAAGATGCCTCAGCTAAAGACACCCAAAGAAGGAAGAAGAACTCCAAGAACAAACACTGGTTGGGTCTATCTTTGAGTCTATCTAATCGAAAACGGTGCTCTTTTTTGTCCTGAATAAGTCGCAGGGAACTGCACCAGAGATGGGAAGGGTGCATAAGGCTCGTGTTATTGGCCCTGCCAGTCCGTTTCACCTGACACATTTTAAGTCGTCGGACGAGCCGAGTTGTCGGAGAGCTTGCCAATATGGCGTCGGACACAAGCCGTTTCTTGACTGACCTTCACTCCAAAAGCACTCGAAACAACAGGTTCTCGGGAGGTTGTGGACAGAAACGAACATCACATCTGCTCACCTATCAGACAACGAACATGTTTTAGCACGTGAACCTCCAGCGATATTTGCACCCAAATCCTCACTTTTGAGTAATAAGGGCATCGCTACTAGTAACAAGGGCATGGACGAAGCAAGGACGCTCTACTAGTAGCAATGCCCTTGTTACTAGTAGCTTGAGTTTTGTTCCTCCAAAAAGGCGGTTCTCCAACGGGCTGGGCCTCCGGGGCCCCCCCAATCTCCATTTCGAGACGCGAGTGCCGCGCTCCAGGCGGTTCTGCCTCCCTTCCAATGCACCGGGCGTCGCGATCGCCCTAGAAATGCCTGCATCAGGCGCAGTTGGACATCCACTTCCTGATGACCTTGGCGGCCTTCGCGCCGCTGTTCTCGCATCACCGGCGACCGTAACAAATTGGTGTAAACATCGATGAAAAAAGAGGTTCTGTAGTATGACATGTATGAAAAGTTCAACAAATTCTGTTCACATCGTAACAGATTCTGGTTCGAAATTTATTGAAAGGCATTAACAAAAAGAAAACACACAATAAAAAATTATTCATATGTTGCAGATATTGCATCAGTGTATCCCAAAAAATATTATAAACAATGGTAACATAATGGAATTGCTGAGGTTTGTTGAATCATCAAAATCATCAGAACTTGGCAAGTTCTACTTATAGTTACGTACACCCCTGCAGACTAACATGGACCCTGAAAATCACCCTGTGGGAGAACATGTTCCTCTACAACCCAGGTGGTTTTGAGAGTCCATTTGGTCCTCTGCAGGAGGGTATTTATCGTTTGATTGATTTCTCCTTGCACTTGGCGATTTGTATGTAGGCAAGGCTGAAACAGTTTTGCAGTTTCAGCCTGAAGCGTTTTCCATAGAAACCCAGAAGATTTCAGAATCAACCTTTGACCTCCATGCATTTTTGGGTGGTAGTTTCAGATATTAGTTTGTTTGACCTGTACTTGCTATGATGGAACCCAGATGAACCCATCATGACGAATCGTTTTCGAGTGAGGTGAATCCACCAATCAGGAGAGTTCTTTTTTCCAAAGAGTTTAGTGTTGTTTTTTTCTTATTTAGCACTGCTGGCCTATGCTGGGGTATGTTGGTATAATTGGTTGGTTTCATCGCAAGATCGCTCGCAAGCTTCACACATTCTCACTCACATGGATGCCCGTTGTCGGGCCTATGCAGACGATCCCCCCTTCGGTCGGACGCCATAGGTCGGTGATGATTGGGCACTCCCATGAGGCGGGGGGCGGGTGGGGCGGGGGGGAAACAACCGGGGCACCCAGCAAAGCACTTAAGGCCCAACCGTGAAATCGCATGTGTGGTTGTTTTTGTATTGTTTGATTTTTTGTTGTGTACGTCTCTGTTGAACGACCGAGTTGATTCCTGAAGTACTAAAAGCAAGATCTAACTTTTGGATAGCGACCCAGTATGACTCAACTTGGCTGTGAAGTACGGCCCCCGCGGTCAGCCTGGGAAAACATGTTCAGGTTTGGTTTCTATATAGACTCTAAAGTTACATGTCTCAATCATGTCAGTGTGACTTCTTCGATGGATTGATTGATTGATTCATTCATTCATTCATTCATTCATGCATCAATGGATTGATTGACTGATTGATTGATCGATATAGTAGAGTAGAGTAGATTATAACTATGGATTATAACAATATAGCACAAGTACTAGTATTAGTATTAGTATTATATTTGTATTGGATAGTTTTTTGGTATTAGTATTATCATTATTATTAGAGAAGGTATAGATACTGTAGATAGATATGCCTGCAGCAAGCCCTGCGGACTCGAAGTGGGTGTTCATCTATATGGGGGGGGGACCTCCCAACCTAATGGGTTTGAGTCCAAACCTTTGGGTCAAACCGGGAGGTCTCCGTATAAAAATAGGCACCCTTCTGAAGCTACGCTACGAACGCAACTCTTCGGGCATCGCGACCACTCGTCGAACGGAGCGATCGGGTCCACCTCGCACTACTCGTAACAAGAAGCTAACTAGGAACTATGTTCGCTACTAGGGCTACTAGGGGCCCTTGGCATCGCTACTAGGAGCACGGACGCTACAAACGGGGCTCCTGGCCGTACGAACGGAACGTTCGGACACTATACACGACCGAGCCGGGAGGACCGGTGGTCGACCGAGGTGGTGCGAACCATGGACACCGGGCCGACCGAACCGTGCGAGCCGCCGCGTCGGGTGACCGTGGGGTGACCGTCGGCTGCGTATACCTTTACGTTGAGCTCCTCTAGGTGCCTTGGGAAGCTCCTTCCCTGCCACAACAACAACGTCCCTCCTGTTTGTAGAGAGGAATTGGTCTTCCATTCATCTCCAGTCTCCACTTCCACCTTTCATGCATAATCTGTGAACAAACAAACTAGCCCACTCTCAATGGAACTTCCCTTCCCTGCTTCCAGGGAGCTTTGCTCTTGTTGCTCTTCGTACTCTCAGAAGTCCTGGAGGAATGATGAGTTGGGCGTTCGGTGGATTCGCTCGCCCGTTCAGCCAGTTGGGCGTCCAAAGTTGGGAATGGCAACGAAGAAACCCTGATGATCTCAAGATATCAGAATCAGTGGTGTTCCAAATCTGAGGGCGTCTGTTTTTCAAAGACACAGTAGTGTACGGTATGCCAAATCATGAGGACTTCTGTGTTTCAATCTATTAGCCAAGTCAGCACTGTTGGGATGAATTCACAGGAACATGACCAAGCCTTCAAGACCTATCGACGTTTGACCGGAGGGTACGTTGGAAGGAACCCGTCGCCGAAACCATCGTAAAACTCTCGCCCACCGGTGCCTAAAGAGGGAGAGAGAGATTTCTTCGGGCTAGCCCCAGACCACACCCTAGCTGAACCCCCCGAGCCTGGTTCCTGAAAACAGAAATTCAACAAGATTCTTTCTGAGCAACTCTCGCCCAGGCGGTGCTTTTGTTACCATATAGGAAAAAACACTTGTCTTCTGAGCTGGGACCGAGAGTTTTCTAAGAATGGATGTTGGTCCGACTTCTGTGGTGGTCAAGAAAGCGACCTTGGGACTCTGAGACGACACTCCCTGAAAGAATTGAAGTGGAGTGAACTCCACCACCTGTTTGGTATGTGGAAAAGAATCCGAAATCGGGCCATGCCAGCCCCTTGGGGTTTCTTGGACCTTTGGCTGCGAAAACCGACTGGTTGTTCACCCTTCCTGCGGACAGGCTACGGCATTTGATAAGGATGTGCCAGAACCATCCAGGACCTTCGAAATGGATGACATGACGCACATGGACAGGCCCTGCATGGGACACTGGAAACTGGCTCTTTATACCAGGACCCCCCCAGTTGGGGCGGTTGTCTTAGACACCCCTTCGTCACCTCTAAGGAGCCACAATACACCCCAAACGGGGGGGTTGGTTTAGCCTTCATGCCTTCACTGAAGCCATTGAGCTTTCACAGGCAAGAAATGAGCCGAAACCCAATTTGATCATGATGAACTCCATCATATGTGGGGAAAAGCTTTGAGTTGATGCACCTCCTATCACATTCTGCAAGATCTTTGAGTTTGGCGGATGTGGTCCAGCTCCTGAACCCGTTCAAGCAGGACATGTCGCCATGGTTTTATCGTTTGGAGACCTGCCACGTTCGCTGGGACATACCAGGACCCCAGTCCCAACAGCCCCCCCTTTGCTGTCAATGGCGGGCATCTTGCAGCACTTCGTAGAACACATGGAGAGGATTTCACCGCGTAAGAGAGATGAAAGGCATATTGGTTTGTGTGGGCCATGGGCTATGAGTTTGAAGTGAACCTACACAAACATCTACATGTTTGAACGTTTATCTATACTTACGTTAATTGAAATGCCTCCTTTACTGGAAGGCAGCGGCAGCCAACCCATTAGATTGCCTTCCCATGTTGTTTTCCATTCTCCACCTTATTCTGCTGCACGTCCTGCCCACGTCCTGCATCTGGCCACCAACCAACTCGTTTGAGCAGCCAACAGCAGCCAACCAACTCGTTTGGCGCGACAGCTGCGGCGCCATGGCCGAATCCCTCGCGATGAACCATGTCGCTCGGACGGTCCGCTCTGGGACGGTCGACAAACGGGACGATCAAGCGAAGAAGGTCGGGGAGAACCCGCACCGTCGACCAATGGATCAGGTGTTGGGGCATCAGGTGATATGTGATTTTCCCTATGGTTCAATTGTCAATCCCCTTCTGTGGAATATGTGTTTAGATGTTCGTAATTTTTTGCCTGGTTCCTTAGGCAAATCCAAGAATTGGATCATTCAGAATCATTCACCTGGAAAGCTACTGAAGAGTGGATGGGATTGGAAACCCGACAACCTAAATTCGAAGGTGCACAGTTCTCTTAACCCTTTCAGGGACACTGAGGAGTCGATCGTTGTGGCTCGATGTCGAACCCAAGTCCTGCATTCGTTGATATGGCATCCCAGACAATCCATGTATGGAACATTTACTTACATTGACCCCTTTTCCACCACCCCAATGATTGGTAAATATTCCATACATTGATTGTCTGCGTATGTAGCAAATCCAGATTTTCACAAATCAAATCACAGGGCGCCGGACGCCTCCGGGTGGCCATTGGTTTGGGGGATCCCCCAATCATCGTGAGGCATTTCAGCATTTGCAGCATGTCAAAAGAAGATTTAGACATATTTATCCCAGACGCTGCAAACAGCCCTTGGTCCCTCAAAACCTATAAAGATTTGAGGGTCCGGAATCCGGACCCCTTCATATGAGGGTCCGGCCTCTGCTAGGAGGGCCCATGACCGTCTGGGCCAGTCTGGGATATAACATTATATAACATGATATAACAATAAATCTAAAGCCAGAGAAACTTACAAATGCATCTTGCACAGGTGATGTTTGATTGACTAGTAGGTCTTGATGACAGTTGTTTACTAATATCCTGGAAGAAGATTCAAGTTGAAGTGTTTCCTTGCAAGGGCAGGCTATTCTCGGCCTTGCGGAGAGTGCTTGTTTGGATTTCCACAAACGGCTCAGTACCAGAGGTCTACCATGGGAGGCAACGTTTCCATGACGACCAGAGCTGTACAAGACTGTTGACTTACAGTCGGACTGTCCGAGACGACCGGACAAGGTGGAAGTTGGCTTTGCCAGCACTTTGTTGGGCGCCATGGTCTTCTTGATGTCTCTCACATACTTGACCAACAACAGCGACAAGGACTGGTGCCACCGGGGGGGCTTTTTGGGCCACCGAAATCTGCGATGTCTGCCAGCCAGCGAAACGGAGGTGTCCGTGGTGTCGCAGGAAAACCGCTGCACCAGCGACCTGGGAACCAGGATCCCAGTGGATCTACCCTCCCTCCAAGAAACATCGAAGTGGACCATCCGGCTTTATGTGTGATCCATGTGTGTATGTGATCATGATGCGCATGATGTGTGATCCTTTTTGTAAAGGAACATGCACGGCCAGGCCCATGAGTGTTGGGGGGAGAGGGCAAGGTGAACTTTCCCTTGACGGTGAAACCAAGGGTCTCATGGGATGGTCGAGTCCCACCCAACTGGCACCCCCAACTGGCACCCCCAACGTCGTCGAAAGGGTGACCAACGCGGCAAGGGTTTGACAGGTTTCACATGGATTTAGTCAGTGATTTCAAGGCTGGCAGCCAGAAGCTGTCAGGCTTAACTACCAATGATCCCCACCCACAACTTACCCACAACTTCGACGGCAAGAACTGACACAACCTGCATTGTCTTGTGACCCTTAAAGTATCTTAAAGTATTGAATTCTGCAACAGCTCCGAACCTGACTCGGAGCATATGTCTGGAAATGAGTCGTTTGTTTGCATCGATGTCCGAATATCCAACTGGATGATTCTGGAGTACTATTGACATAATTAGTCACATAAACCCTCTAAATTGGGCAAAGGATGGCAACAACTTCTGATTTCATTTGATTTCTACCGTATATACCTACTCCAAGCTGGTTGTAAGTCAATCTAGCCACACGCTCCTTGTCATGCTTCTGGTCTGTTCACACCGAGTGCCCTGCAGGATATACGCAGATATACCTATGAGGTGATCAGTCAAACAATTGCGATCTTTTGTGCTGCGTCCAGGCTGCATTAGGGATGTTCCCTTTTCTGCGTCTTGTGCTGTGATATGGATGCAGTGGATGTGTTGGCGTTTGATCGAGATGAATCAATCTGAGTCTGAGTTTCATGCTAGGTTTGTTTTTGGACTGCTGGAAGGAGAATCGGCTTCCCACCTAACACCCAGGTCGGGTGGTTTATTGACCCCCCCCTGACTATCTACTGTAGATAAACCAACCCTTTGGGTGGTGGGGGGGCCGGGCGAGGTCATGGTTTTTCAATACATCAACGAAGTGACGGACAAGGCCTGCCTGTTAAGCGTCGCATTCGGCGCCGCATGGGGGCCTGCAACGTGCGCTGCGGGGTTGGACGCATGGATTCGAGGACAGTTCTACCTGGAACCCAGACATGACCTTTGTCTTGATAGGAACAGATCATATGGAAGGGTGGTTGGAGGTCCAAAGAAAACAGAGGTCAATCAGGTTTCAGGTATAGACAGACTCTTGATTGGGCCTCCACTATGGATAATTCACAAGGCTTAAAGCCTATAGAAAAAAAAGGCAGCCTAAAAGCAGACAGGACAGAACAATGAAGAACATAAATGATTCAATATGACATCCCCCAGACAGGGATGGTAAAACCCATGGTAACACCTTTGAAGAGGCTTGAGGGATCACCGAGACACCTGTTCAGAGCCCCACGATCCGATCGCGATCTTGCGATCGTCGGAGCCCCGCAGTTTCACTCAATAAGGTGACGTTTCTGGAGATCAAGGTGCTCCTGTTCTTGAAGAATTCTCCGGAAAAAAAGAAACAAGAACAACAACAACGTACTCAAGAGCTTCTCCAAGAGAGCTCCTTTAACTACAAAAACATCGAACGAAAAAGCACTCAGATTCGAGAGCTTTCTGGCTTTTGATGTCCTGTTCTTGATGTATCAAGCTCTCCGAAGTGTTCGATTTTTTTTGGGGGGTGAACGGTTTGCCTTCTCGAGTTCCGTGGGTTTCCTACGACCCCCCTCCAACACACCAGTTGCTCACATGCTTAGCGCGGCAGGCCATGGTGCACTTTGGATGGGCCCATTGGCCCTTCCTAGCCTCTGGGATTCGATGTCTTTTTTGCCCTAAGGCGACGTAAACCGCTGATTTCAGACGGCGACATGTGATGATTTCATGGGCGGGTTCGGAACACCTGCAATTCAATTATAGTCAAAGAATGTCACAGGTCTGTGACTACCGTTGCTACCAGACCTGTGGAGGGTATGCGCATCTGAGAGCTGTGGGCAGGTGCAATTAGTTGCTGTGTCAGCTTTTTTTGGGGAGTCAAGACAAAACCATAGCATACATTCGAAGGTACACACAGGGAAAGGTTGAGAGCTTACACCATCTTAGACGCAGGTCTGGTCGAA